CTGGTCATTGGCTCCGAGTGGTCATCAGATGACCCGCCGAATGATTCGGAACATCCGTAAAATTGATTGCTTTGTCAATTTGATTTTTCTGCAACTATATGGAATGAAGTAAAATGGTGATTTTTTGACACATAAGCTGATTATTGGCTCCCAGTGTTCACTAGATGGTCCACCAGAAAATTCGGCAAATCTGTAAACTTGATTGCTGTGTAAATTTGATCAAAGTAGGCCTTGATTTGTTCTGATACTATATGAAATATAGTAAAATGATGATTTTTTTTTATATATTAGCCAGTCATTGCTTCTAAGTAGCCACCAGATGGCGCACCGGAAGATCCGGAACATGCGTGAAATTGATTGCTATGTAAATTTGTGTAAAGTAAGCCTTGATTTTTCTCTGCAACTATATGGAATGTAGTAAAATGGTGTTTTTTTTATAATAGCTCCAAGTTGTGACCAGATGGTCCGTCGGAAGATCCTGAGCATCTTTAAAATTGATTGCTGTGTAAATTTGATCAAAATTTGCCTTGATTTGTGTCTGCAACTATATGAAATGTAGCTAAATGATGATTTTTGAAATTTTAGCTGTTCATTTGCTTCGAATGATTACCAGTTGTTCTACCGGAAGATCCGGAACATGCATAAAATTGATTTCTTCTTAAATGTGCTCCGAGTTGCTGGTTATTGGCTCCCAGTGTTCACTAGATGGTCCACCAGAAAATTCGGCAAATCTGTAAACTTGATTGCTGTGTAAATTTGATCAAAGTAGGCCTTGATTTGTTCTGATACTATATGGAATATAGTAAAATGGTGATTTTTTTTATATATTAGCCAGTCATTGCTTCTAAGTAGCCACCAGATGGCGCACCGGAAGATCCGGAACATGAGTGAAATTGATTGCTGTGTAAATTTGAGTAAAGTAAGCCTCGATTTTTCTGGAATGTAGTAAAATGGTGTTTTTTTATAATAGCTCCGAGTTGTGACCAGATGATCCGTCGGAAACATCTTTAAAATTGATTGCTGTGTAAATTTGTGCCTTGATTTGTGTCATATGAAATGTAGCTAAATGATGATTTTTGATCACCAGTTGTTCCATCGGAAGATCCGGAACATTCGTACAATTGATTTCTTCTTAAATGTGCTCCGAGTTGTGACCAGATGGTTCGTCGAAAGATCCTGAACAGCTGTAAAACTGATTGCTGTGTAAATTTGATCAAAGTAGGCCATGAGTTTTATCTGAAGCCATATGAAATGTAGTAAAATGGTGATTTTTGATACATTAGCTGGTCGCTGGGTCTAAGATGTCATCAAATGGCCCGCCAAAAGATCCAGAACATCCGTAAAATTGATTGCTGTGTAAATTTGATCTAAATATGCTTAGATTTCTTCTGATAGTATATGGGATGTAGTAAATTGGTGATATTTTGTATATATTAGCTGGTCATTGGCTCCAACTGGTCACCAGATGGCCCGTATGAAACTTTGCATAACTGTTTGTGGCCAATGATTCACACATTTGATAAGATTCGGCCATTTTGGATCTTGTAGAATTTTCAAAATTGAGGTTTTGAAATTTTTCAAAAAATGTAACACGGAAACGACATTTCTGATCGAAATGACGTCTGCGACAAAGTTGTAGGGAAAATAATGTTTTTCAGGGAAAAATATACAAAAACATGTTTTTTTTTTAATGTAATTTCAAGAAGAAGAAGTTCAATTGAAAATGTTAAGAACCTAAATTTATCAAAATGTCCGTGTCCGAATTTTGAAAATTTTTCTAAAAAAAATTTAATTAAAGAATTTAATTGTTTGGAATGTTTAAAATTATGGACATTTGAAATTTGACATAAATCATAAAACAAGAGCTTGTGGTAAAAGTTCAGCTTTTGGTTTTTTTTCATATAATTTATGCTCATAACATTATTTTTGAAACATTTTAAATCATTTTATGTTGAAAATACACAAAGAAGCGTACCAACAAAAAGTTCAAAAAATTGAACAAAAGTTCTTTTTCTACGATTTTTGTCAGTTTCCAAGTGTCCATGGTTTTGTACATTTCAAAGTTTATTTTTATTTTTATAGGCTTGATTTTTTTTTTGAGTCGGGCAAAGACTTTGTGTTCATCGTGGTGTGGATCAGAGGTGCTGTGATATTTCGCCGAAGGACGTTTCGCTGAAGAACATTTTACAGTAGGATATTTCACCGAATGGGTCACAACTCGAAAGAACTGGTCATATTTAAAAGGAATCATTCCTATATAGAGCCCAGAATGCCTAAGCACGACTTTGGAACACCCCTGCTTGTTTCAGATTACGTTTAAACAGCTGATTATCACGCTGAATCATTGTTAACTTTTCGACAACAGATTCGTGTATCGCAAGTGTCGGTTTTATACATTTCCGTGACAATGCAAAGCATTTCTCCGGAAAAGCGCGAACATATCGTGCCCAAATGGTGTACTATCCCCAACATTTATCTAATGTCGTTCTCGTTTTTGCTACACTACACCGGTGTAGTGTAAGCAGAAATAAGCGCGAGTCATTGACAGCTCATCATAATTTGTTTGTAAACAAAGGTGCAACCGATAGCTACATCCTGATTATTTTCGGTGTTCGGCGGTGTAGCACCGGTGTAGTTACACCGCAAAAACGAAAACGACATAAGTCAATTGGAGCGAAATTGGAAGGTGTAAGCATCGGAGCCGTTCGAAACGCGATTCGGAAGTATGGTGATGAAGCAACTTTCTATGACAAGCAAAAATCTGGACGCAAACCGAACCCTGTTGATCGAAATCGGGACCGGAAAATCGTGTTTCACATGCAAGAAAAGTGCTCCGGTTCGAGACGTGGCTAAAAAAGTTGGAAGGGTTGTATACTAGATACGACCGCAGGGTTGGCGTTGGATAACGTCTGTTATGTGTTGTACTTAATTGTGTATATTATATTTTAGGAATATTCCTTGTTTTTCGTGCTGAGCACCAATGCTACCCACACCCATGCTTGGCATACACAGTTTTGTCACGAACTGCTCATTTGCTAATAACTTTGCACACAGTAGATAGAATAGAGTGTAAGCTTGTTATAGATATGTAAAATAAAGTAGATTTTAATGCTAGTAGTAAACTGTATTTGTTTTTGCGTTGTAAAAATGAGGTGAGAAATGCTTACTACACATCTCGGAATTTAAGTGTTAAATTGATTAGTGTTGATTCAAATGTTAAGCTTTACCTAATCTTGGCATATTTATAGTAAACTATGAGCCCAATTTATCAATTACTTTAAAGAAAAATAAATTTCTACATCTGAGTGAAAAGTTATTACCAAATTAGCAGTTGGTGTGTACAACTGTGCATGCCCACACCTGGACCCTACCTATCGACCCATCAACTCATGAACCGGGAACCCCGAAGGAAGGCGTGATCAGAGATGTTATGCCTCAGAACTTCCCGGCAGCGTTGACTGGGATTGAACCCAGACCTGCTGGGACGCTTACCACTATACCACGGGCGCCGCTGCTCTCTAGCGTTGTAATCTTGTAACCAAACTTGGAAGCAGGGGATACTCTACATAAATTTTATTCTAACTCTTTTCTGAAATGAACTTGATGGCCCTGAAAAGGGCCGTTTTGTTACATTGGAGATAAGTTTTAACCTCCGAAACCGTACAGAATGCGTCCCTGTACAATATAAAAAATACTGGTGTTTGAGTCAAAAGTTATTATACGTCGTTTGATGGCCCCTATTGTTACTTAAGTCAAAGTGTATTTACCAGGATATTCGGGAGAATTATCAATTACGTCTCCTTACGTGCAGCCCTCATCATTTTAGGACCACCGAAATCATCTTAGCAACCAACAGTTCGATTTATTCACTTTAATAATGAGAAAGCGAAACGACGAACAAACATTTTTCACGGGTTTCTCAGCGCTGTTACTTAAGGCAAACGGCATCTCCATAGAAATCGGGTGACTTAAGTAACATCGAAAACTATTTTGATCGGAAGGTGATTACGTCAAAAAGCAATTTGACTAGTAAATAAATTTAAAAATGGGATGTGATCCTATATTCGGACAGTATATAGTGTAATAGCAGGAGCATCGATTGACACTGATAGCTCGACTTTGTTTACCTTTATTTTCGACGTAATGAAAATTTGCTCTTGAGTTGTGATCATTCATGGAGGAGCAACTACGAAGTGCACGGTCAGATAACGTTAACTCGACGGCAAACACATTCATTGATACGTTTGTTGTTGTGGATGATAGAAGAGCATAGCAGAAATAGTGCGAAATAGGAAACTATGGTCATCACAAAAGAGGAAATCGAAAAAAAAGAATTGGCTTTCACCCTTCTGCTTCTAAGCCCCTTACAGTCATCGTCATAGCATCGCACCGCTTCTGGTTCTAGGGCACTTGCTGGTTGCAATTTTTCGATCAGGATTCACTGTGATGCGATCAGTTGTAAGCAGCAGAAATTTCCTTCCCAACTCTCTTGTGGAATCTTTTAGTGGCTCTGAAAAGGGCCGGTTTTGATAGATTTCGACGGAAAAATTAAGAACGTTCACGACAAATACGAAGAGCCAGCTGAACGTCCTTTGGCATAATTGTGACCAGAGATGCCAGGCTTATTTAGAAAAAATCTTACAAAACCCGAAAAAAATGTCTGGCGAAATCTGGCACAGCAAATTAACATAGGAACCTGCCAGATTTCTCAAAAAATCTGTCTGGCAGAGCAAAAATTTCTCTGGCTGTGCCAGATAAATCTGGCAACCTGGCAACGCTGATTGTGACACGCTTGCCGTGAATGGCAAACAGACCGACCAGGTCTGTTAATTTCACTCATCGAGGGTATACTTATACCTGCGTCGAGTAGCATATTATTAATACAGGGAGGGAACAATACATACAGCAAAATACTGAAAAGGGGAGGTGTTTCGCTTCTTATGCTACGGGCACAAAACGAGACACCACCGTCGAAACGACTATCAGTTATTCTTTTCATCATGGTACCGAAATCCAGTGGAAAGGCCGCTAAGAAGTCTGGAAAGGCGCAGAAAGTCATCGTCAAGGGAGAGAAGAAGAAGAAGAGACAGCGCAGGAAGGAAAGTTATGCCATCTACATCTACAAGGTGTTGAAGCATCTTCGAACTCGTCCCGTCTGGCTCAATACATCAAACGCTCGACGATCACGTCCCGCGAAATCCAAACTGCGGTCCGTTTGCTGCTGCCGGGTGAGTTGGCTAAGCACGCTGTCTCTAAAGGAACCAAGGCCGTCACCAAGTACACCAGCTCAAAGTAGATTCGTACCATCCAAACAATCAATCGGCCCTTTTCAGGGCCACAAATCGATTTCCAACGTGAAAGAGGTTTTGATGATTTTATTGAACTTTTAAATGTTCGAAAGCAGCGTTAGCAAAGTTCGCAATAAGAAATCAGTTGATTTGCATTATGAAAATAATGTTGACAAAAAGAATAAGACCGTACGGTTTTGACGTCTGTGATTTCTATATGGGGGTACAGTTTGTAAAAACCGAAAATGGAACATAAAATAATTCAAGACCAACAATTGAAATGGGCTTAACTCCATTTTGTAAACAAACCTTGCAAGGCCATTTGCTCGCGAACCGAAACCTACATTTGCAAACCTAAACCACAATCGGGTAGAGGAGAATTTCTCCTACCTGTTCATTATGTTGGTTTGCCTTTGCGGACTTCCGTTCGCGAGAAAATGGCCTTACAAGGTTTGTTTACAAAATTGAGTTAAGGCCATTTCAATTGTTGGTCTTGAATTATGACACGCTTGACGTGGATGGCGAACAGACCGACCAGATAGGCCTCGCTGGATTCCTGTAGGGCCATTACCGGCCGAGCTCTGGAAGCGCAGATCGGTCTTGAAGTCCTGGGCGATTTCACGGACCAGACGCTTGAAAGGCAACTTGCAGTCAGCAGCTCGGTCGATTTCTGGTAACGAAGGATCTCACGCAGAGCGAAAGTCCCTGGCCGGTAGCGATGAGACTTCTTTACTCCACCGGTGGCCATCAGTTTGAGAGGAGCCTTTCCTCCGGTGGACTTACAAGCGATTTGCTTGATGCGGCCATTATACGATGTAGATACGTTGAACGCAATCTGTTGAATAAAAATTTTAATTACCCAGCACAATCATGGGCATTGGCTCCAAGCAATATTTCATCAGATTCCAGACAAATCTGTACGATAGTATTTAAATAGAAAAGAAAATGAAAATATAAAAATGAGGTAAGGAAAATAATTAAAATATGGTTCAGATTAATACCTGGCTGAATTAAGATACACATTACCATTTATTATATAAGGGGTCGTCCATTAATTATGTCACACATTTAGGGGGGAGGGAGGGTTTTGAAAACTGTGACGAGCCATACAAAAAAAAAATTAAGGTACATACAAAAAATGTGACAAAGGGGGGAGGAGGTTTGGGGTTGAAAATGGGCCAAATTTGCGTGACATAATTAATGGACCATCCCTAAGACCACGTAGTCCTACGTCACCTTTCCGTACAACCCCGTAGGGCTGTCCCTTGTAGTTGGAGGGTGGTGTATAAGGTAGTCTGAACCGTAAAAAATTTCGTAGTCCTACGTCAACAATGCGGTTGTGTCTTGTACACCACCCTCCAACTACAAGGGACAGCCCTATGGGGTTGTACGCAATGGTGACGTAGGACTACGTGGTCTTATATAATAAATGGTAATGTGTATCTTTATTCAGCCAGGTATTAATCTGAACCATATTTTAATTATTTTCCTTACCTCATTTTTATATTTTCATTTTCTGTTCTAATTACTATCGAACAGATTTGTCTGGAATCTGATGAAATATTGCTTGGAGGCAATGCCCATGATTGTGCTGGGTACTCCCTTGTACACCACCCTAGAAAATTAATCGTTAAACTCTTTCTTGATAATGTTGTGGCCCTGAAAAGGGCCATTTTTCCAACGCGCTCGGCGTAGTTGCCCTTGCGGAGCAGACGGTGAATACGACCGACTGAGATCTGCAGCAGCTGGGCATTCCATGAAGGCGGCCCAGTATACCGGAGCACTGGCACCAACGCACTCGGCGTAGTTGCCCTTTCGCCCCCAGGCTCTGCTGCCGTTGCTTTGCTTTCCGCTGCTCTGGTACTGCTGCTCTGCTGCTGGGTCGACGATCGGATAGACAATGATGGGGCGGGCGACTTTTTTTTGACTTAAATGATCTATATTTCTTGAATTTGTGTGGTTTACATGTATAACTTATCAAGTGACACAGATGCGTCTTTTCAACTTTAGTTCCTGTGAAATTTCAATTATTATTAATTACAGTTCCTAGTCCTATCAGGCCTGTTTTAGAGAATGACCACCCTGGTGGGATTGGTTTGTTTGAAAATTTGAAAAAGGAGACTACTTATAACTACTATTTACAACTACAACTAACCTACAACTACTATGTACACCTAACCAACTATATACAAATTGCTTATCAAAGCATGTTCTGATAAATTACATTTTTGTGCAAATTTAGTCTTAATTTCGTTAATTTTGGAATCTATTTTGGCAATGCCTGCCTCTTCATGTAAATTTGTTATTCTAGTGTCGAAAGGACGATCAAGAACCATCCTCAGCACTCTATTCTGAGCGACCTGAATTTTGTTCCTGTGAGTCTGTGCACATGATTCCCACACCGGAGCTGCGTAGAGGATCGCAGGTGCAATGATTTGTTTGTAGACGGCCAGTTTGTTCACCCTTGAGAGGCGGGATCTGCGGCAAATCAGCGGATACAGACACCTAACCAAGGTAGAACACTTGACTACAGTTTTCTCTACATGCGAACGGAAGAGGAGCTTTTCATCGAACAACATCCCGAGATAGGTAACTTCGGTAGACCACTCAACCCTTGTGCCATCCATGATTACAGTACAAGATGGAGCCGGTTTCAGTTTTGGCGATTGCCGATGGAGGAACATGATCGCTTGTGTTTTGGTGGCATTGATTTTGATTTTCCACGTGGTGGCATAATCAGCAAAGGCGTTAAGGCATCGTTGAAGTTTGTTCGTTATTTCGCGAGGCATCCTTCCTTTGACGGCTATTGCGGTATCATCTGCGAACAGGAAAAACACGCAACCGTCTCCAAGGGGAGGAATGTCGGAAGTGTAAATGCTGTAAAGCAAGGGGCCCAGCAGACTACCTTGCGGGACTCCTGCTGGGATCGAAAACGTGTCTGAGAGACAACCATTCAACGATACCTTAAACGACCTTTGCTGGAGGTAGTTACGGGTGATTTTAATAAGATGTAAAGGAAAGTTGAAGTTACAAAGCTTGTACACAAGTCCATCATGCCAAACATTGTCAAACGCCTTTTCAACGTCTAACAAGGCCATGGCTGTGGACTTGGATACAGCTTTGTTACTTCGGATGTTATTCATCACCCGTACTAGCTGATGATTGGTGGAGTGCCCCTTTCTGAATCCAAACTGTTCCGGAAGGAGAATGTTATTTTCCTCGACAAACTTGAGCAAACGATTGAGAATGAGTTTCTCGAACAATTTGCTCAGCGCTGAAAGGAGGCTGATTGGTCTGTAGCTTGAAGGCAATGTTGGATCCTTACCGGGCTTGCGGATTGGTATGGCGGGCGACCTTGTTGGACGCTTATATAGTAGAACAGAAAATATCAGAGGTGTCAGATACTCTCATCTGATGTCTCGGTTGGAGAAATTATAAGAATATAAAAAAAATCAATCGATTTTCACCATCTTTAGACAATGGTTTGCTTTTAACCATTTTTCAATAGTTTACAGAATGAAATCAATAGTTTTGAAACATTCAGCAAATTGCTAGAAATATTTCCAATCGATTGATGCCATTATCTCGTAAATCTATCGAGAGACGGTTGAGTTATTATCGTTCAAAATCTTTTAATTTTTCGTAACTCATCCAAAATGACTGTTTTCAATTTTGTACCCCCGTATGTTGCCGAAAGACGTTATCCAACGTCAAAAGTTGGACCCTCGCGGGCCAAGACAAGAATAGCTCTAAAGACGTATTAGAAGCAAAAGAAGCCAAAGCGGAGTGAAGAACAAGCCGAGGGCTCGGAAGTTATACGACCAATTGCTGTGCGGAAAATGTATCATACGTAAAATTTGATTACAAACCTCTTCCTGGTCAGTACTACACCCTAAGTGATGGCCGAAGTGCTGACGATGCGGATAAGTCGATTTTTACCGAAAAATTCGTTAAAAAGGCAAACCATTAAAGGTTTGGCAAACCATTCGTGAGTGTGGTATGCTTTCCAAACCGTTTGTGACAACGGATACAATGACAACCGATGTTTACTTGCGTGAGTGTTTAAACAAGCGTCTGTTACCCATGATCCGTAAACACTACACCTCAGTACTGTTTTGGCCATCGGTTCATTATTTCAAGGACACGGAATAAAGCCTACAAGGTCCAATTCGTACCCAAGGAGATGAATCCGCCAAACTGTCCCCAGGCCAGGCCAATCGAAACTTTTTGGCCCCTGACCAAAGCATATTTGCGGAAACATGTAAAGACAGCGGATTCCGTTACAAAGTTGGCGAAAGACTGGGAAAAAGTATCCAAAATTGTTGGAAAGGCATCTATGCTGAAGCTAATGAGTAGCGTGAGATTAAAAATCCGCTCCTAGACTTACGACTGATCGGAACTCGAATTTTGTACGTTAAACTGTAGAGAACATGAATACAGAGTTACGTTATCGTTTTTTAAAATTGTGCTTAGACATTTTGGGACACCCTATAAATCAAAAATATTGATTCTTTAGAAAATAACGAAATCAATACAACTCGAAAGAACTGCTCATGTTCAAAAGAATGAAGCATTGCATTTGAATAGCTTGCCAGGTTGAAAAAAGTCAAACCTTTTTAATCTTTTTTCGAGATTAAATTAATTAGATGATTTCAAAATTTACTAAGCTTTGAGAAAAGTTCCAAACCGTAGAAAATGGCTTGCTCTTCGGTGACTTGACCCATTCGACGAAATGACCCATTCAGCGAAACGTCTTTCGGCGAAATGTCCCGCTCCCGTTTTTATTTGAAATTTCTTGAACGCCACTTTGAAAATTTTTCAAAATTAAAAATGGCCGAATTTTTTGCAAAAACGTGAATCATTGCCCATTAAAAATAATTTCGCAAGTTTTATGCAAGAAGGTTGATTGAAAAATTAATTTTTTTATCGCTGGAACTGCT